AGCTCCGGGCACTGCGCTGTTTAGTTTTCTGGGTAGAAAGGAGCAGGGTTAAAAGGGGAGGACGGCCGGTCAGTCTGCGGTGAGCGAGACGACAGGCGACGACTTGGAGGCGAGCGTGACTGATGACCACGAGGCGACTGGGAGCGGCTGTTGAACCTTGTGTATACGTTGGGGGAAGAGAACTGGGTCGATGGCGCAAAGCGGGCGTCACCCTGTTGGCGGTATGGGGCAAACGACGTCTGACGTGGTAATCACCAGCGAGCATCGCAGTAATGGACTACATTGCCAATACGATGGCAGGGGAAACAAATTGGCCGGTTGTCGGCAGTCCTCCAAGCTGCAGGGTCGCGAGAGTGGGTGGCAGAAAAGCACTGCTCGGGATAGCATGAGGCTGGACAACATGAGGTTGGCTGTGGACTGGTCACAAAGCACATGGAGTAGATGCCGATGCTGGCGAGTTCCTGACAAACAATCGTCTGAACCCTGGGAGCAGTAATCTGGGTCGTATCAGCTGTACCGGTGTACGCTGTAGCAGGAGCCATGGCTTCGATCCCACGCCTTACAATTTTAGTCCCCTTGTCAGGTGAAACGGAAGTCGGTGATTCCACTTTCGCACCATCTTCGCACGACGGCGTTGCAGCCGTTTGAGAGCCGGGAAAACACGCCGTTGATGCGCGGGCTCTTAGCTTGCTCAAAGCACCTGCACTCTTTTATAAAGGCGTTCGTGGTTGAGTAATTCTTAATTATTAGGAGATCAAAGACGTTGTCGGCAATCTCTTTAAGATTATTCCCAACTTTGTCAGCCTCCGTCATCTCGGAATTGTGTTTCCGACACAAAGAAATTATATCTTTGATAAACGAAATGTACGATTCTGTGGACGTTTGCGCTCTAGACGCGGGCATTTTGTTTGCAGCCATCTGTCGTCCGACGGGCTTCTAAAACAAGTTCAACATTTTCGGCCTGAACGTTTTCCAACTCCAAAGTATTTCTTCATGGTTTTCATACCACACTTCGGCGGTTCCCTTAAGATAGAACAATAGGTTCGCCAGCATAGTAGGCGGAACCCATCGGTATTGAGTCCTCACACGTTCGTACTCTGCCAGCCAATCTTCAACGTCAACTTCATCTGAATCACCGGAACCGCTAAACATGCCCGGATCCCGTGGGGGTTTCAGCACGAAGGTTGTAGTCACCAGAATAGATGTAGTTGCCTCTTCACCTTCAACCACAAGAACACCAGAGGCAGATGCAGATGCCGTATTTTCCGTCATAGTTGCAGAGTTATCCCTCAAACGACGGCCCCTGCGAAGTTGCGTTGCGAGGAAGTTACCCAGAAAGTCCACCAAGTGTGACGGAGGCGAGATCAAGATTTATTCAAACAGCTGATGATCATCCAGACGATATGGCCGATGACTACCAAGCGCACGCTGTATACGTTTGCCCATCGTCTTCATCTTTGCTGACTTCAACCCGGGTTCTTGTCTATGTCGCACCGTAACAACATTTTCATGTTGGTGCCATTAAAAACATTATTCGACAAATAAACGAATAAATGCTCCGGATGTCTCGTTTTGCCCCAACTTGCTGGCAAAATGAGACGCTATGTAGGGCAAAGCAAAGCAGTGTGAAAAAATTATTCCTCTATTCTTTGCAGTGGAAATCTTGGAATTCACTCAGTGGGCACTTTCGCAGTCCTTAGAAGCCCAGTCCTCAGACTACCCGAATTGGATATAAACAGTACGCAGAGTTGTGTTGCTCCGTAACTCGTTGCAGGTCCAACAACAGTCTTTCAGTCTTCTAACGTTGTCTTTTTAAATGCTCGAACCACAAAATTTGGATTTTGTATATGCTTTAACGTATCTTCACCTCTTTTTGCCATTTTGATGAAAAACTGCTCAGGTATTTCGTGGCTTTCAACTTTGTCCGCAGAGCTTTGTAAGGCAATCAATTTCAAACAGTGCTAGAATAAGAAGGCGTAGAGTTTTTTTTCTTTCAACTTGGCTGATGGAGAAACGTCGTTAAAACACAACTACAAGTCGAGTTTGTAAACAATCTGACTTGAACCTTCCGCCATTTCATTCGTGTGTCTCTTGAAGGCATTCTTGGAAGCACAAAAAAATCTCAATTCAGCGTGATTGGATAAGACAGTCTGTGCTTTTTCATACCATTTTCCTCTCAGGAAGTGCTACATATAATTTCTTGTGTGTCCGAACCATCCTATATTACTAACATAATATACCATCCTATAACCATCCTATAATATAACATAATATATCATGAGTGTAACCTAATGTTTAGGTTAATAAGACACTCTGGGACAATAGCATTTGTTTTGGCTTATGTTGCCCTACTAAAATGCCAGAGTTTTAAAAAAGTATTCTTTTTGTCTGCTGGCAGCAAACAACCTGAGATTATGTTGTTGTGTAGCTCGTAGTATAAAGCACAAATTAAATATTGATATTGCTGTACTGAGTAGTGAATGTAGTAAGTAGTAAAAAGTAGCCCATGCACTGATCCGAAAATTTGGTAAAGAAGCACTTTTTCTTTTTGATGAGTCATAAAAACCCTGACCACAGCCGTGCAGTCCTTTTTTTTCGTGCGAAATTTGTAAGCAATCCCTAACTTTTAGACATAAAACGAAGACAAGGAGCAGGACTTATCGCTATAATAGAGAAACAATGAAAAGTAGTTTTAGGGGTGACGCTCCTGAAGCCGTGGGTCTGCCCGTGCATGTCTCTTTCCAACCCGTTCGTAATCACTTATTTTTATTACTCACTCAGCCAGTGGCGCCAAAGTGAGGGACAGGCAGACGGACGGATGGGCAGACGAACAGACGTAAGCCCGAATGGACGCATGGACGGCGTACGAACGGAAGGACCTCATTTTAATTACTGCATCAGGCACCAAATGATTTCCGGGTACGCACTCAGATGTATTCATAAGCAACCTACCACGATCTGAGGGACGTGCACAGACTTAGTGTTTGCAAATAGCCCACTGCATTCAGTACAAGAACCTCTCTCGCTTGACTCCATGGACCGCCCCGCCGCGGTGGTCTAGTGGCTAAGGTACTCGGCTGCTGACCCGCAGGTAGCAGGATCGAATCCCGGCTGCGGCTGGCTGCATTTTCGATGTAGGCGGAAATGTTGTAGGCCCGTGTGCTCAGATTGGGGTGCACGTTAAAGAACCCCAGGTGGTCGAAATTTCCGGAGCCCTCCACTACGGCGTCTCTCATAATCATAGCGTGGTTTTGGGACGTTAAACCCCACAAATCAATCAATGATTCCACGGATCATAAAGCCGTGTAAAGAAGTGACGTCGAAATCCAACCACTATGACAATGAGGAAATGGAAAGAACGAATGAACAAGCACAATAACAAACTAACAAGAACAAAGTACAACTTGATTTGTTTCATATATGCAGATCCTTACGTTTTTAGTGGTGTAATGGGCTATCTTTTCACGGGAGAGTTACTGTTTACTGATGAACTCCCCTCTAGAGCTTCGCCCATTTATCCTCATCAATTCCGTGGATACGGCGTAAATTTTGGTATTAGCTACAGAGGCCGGTAAAGTTGAAATGTCGCGTTTTGTCCCTTGTCTCATTTTACCCTTACCTAACCTAACCAACAGGCGTAAGGTAGCCTGGTATGATCGGTAAAGATTAGAATTGAAAGGTCCTTCTAAAATCTCTTTTGTGAGGTTAGTTTGCAGTATAAAAATTGACCCCATATCAGATTGTTACACTGCTATTGTCATCGAAGAACGATAGCCTTGCGTCTCTAGGGATTGAACGAAACATTATTTGGTGTTCTGTGTCAGAAAATTTGTGAATGGTATTCTGGAGGGGCTGCGTTAGAGTGCTTCGAGCGTGCAGCGGAGGCAAACGAGCACATCAAGTCATGTCACACGTCAGACATGAGCGCTATCTTGCTGTTATCTTATAAAACAAAGCGCGCGGCGTGTGCACCTGTCTCGGAGGTTACAAGGTGTAGAATGGAAGGCAATAGGTAGGTGCCACCACCGTATCATCTTAGCAAAGTGTTAGAAATACTTCTGTTTTTGTGCAAGCGTTGCATGCTCAGCGGAGCGTAATAAAAGCTATGGTCCTTAGAATTGCTTATGTATGCCTTTTCTAGTAAAAGACACACATACAGAGTATTGACGTGTTGTTATGGTTCCTCAGATATGCGCGATAAGTGCATTTTACTTGACAATTCACACAAGTATGAACGCTGAATTTTGAGCAATATTTGTGGGCACTGCGGATGGGGTCGGCTGTTTGGGGTATTGTTTCGTGCCGTTTAGGACCCCGGTAAACGTGGACAAACCGACAAGTGTACAGACAGACAGACAGACAGACAGACAGACAGACAGACAGACAGACAGACAGACAGACAAACAGATGGACGGACGGATCGATGGATGGACCAAAGTTTTTGCGAAGTAGGTCCCCAAGAAAGACTATCGCCTTTCGAAGTTCCGGGGCTAGAAGTTAGCACATTTTATCTAGCCCTAGCTAGAGCTCGATCAATCAGAAAGCGAGATTCCAAAATAATGCATTTTTTCTCATCGTTTAGTCATTCCAGGGCTGTGGATCACTCTCAGACAGACGCATAAGTTCCGTCAAAACACGTTGTCACATCGCTTTAACGCCATGAGTAAAAATCGACACTGAAAGCCCTTTCCACTGATCCCAATGTACACCACTACCACACACTATGCAACGCAATAGGATAATTCACTAAATACTTCTGAGCCCTTAGCCATGCTGCACAGTAAGACATAAAAGAGCGAGAAGCTCGCATGCCGTGACAGCTTCCGTAGTTGTAGTAACGTTGCTGCATTCCTGTCAACAAAACGAATATCTAGATAGTTGAGCCGTGTTGGGCAAACCGTTCTATTTCCATTTTGTGCTGTGCCTCCCGGAACTGTAAGAGACCGCTATACACCACTTTTGATGTGGCAGTTAGAATTTGTGAAAAAGGAAAAACTTACTGCGTGAATAAAATTACCAAGTCAGACTGTTGCGCTGAAGTACTGTTCCCCGCATAATGCCTTAGTTTTATGACTGTGCCGTCTGCGTCCAGGTCGCCAGCATCCGTGAAGCTTACATAGTCAGCGTATTTCTGCAAACATTTCATTCTATTTAGTGCAAACGACTTATGCCCTCCTCGTCTTAGTAGTTACCTGACTTGTGGTATTGTATCCTACCAGAGCGATTAGAATTGGTGGCTCTAACTGCTGAAGCTGTAGGCTCACCTGCCAACAGAAAAAGGGAAGTGAGTAATTTTTACCAGTAACGTGTCATGCTTCTTGCCAGATACTTTCGAGTACACACTACAGTATAGTTTTCAATATGAGTAGCAGTGAACTAATAAGTACATCATTTTCTATGCGATACGTGCTTTTGTCAAAAGGTTATGTCTGTGTATGAGGGCGTCGAAAGCTGAATAAGCGTAGTGATTATTTAATGTCTTTTCGACTGTGTTAGTGGTATTTGTTCGAGAATGTGTTGTCGCTAGATCTGCACGGACGTATTCGAGAGCAATATTTCAGGCCCCTTTTCATATTGTGCTATATTTGTCAACCTGCGCTTTAATTTAATGGTATTTGTCGCTGCTACGAAACCCCAAAGATGTCACTGTTACTCGTGAAGCAATGCGTAAAGTACAATCTGTTCCTCGCTGCCCCTAGCTCTGGATTTTTACGTTTGATCTGCCCTCTCCCATCTCCCAATATTTGCGTAACTCTAGTGTGCACACAACCATCTAGGGAGCCCAATTTGCAATATGTACATTTCAGTTGGGCAGGGGCTTCAGCAGAGAGATCAGTGAAAGCAGTCTTTGGCCCGAAAGTTGTTGTCTCAAAGCCATCCTGAAAGATTGGCGGACAATAGGGTAAGCAAAATGTTTACTGTCAGCAAATTAAAGTGTAGCGATTGTTTCGCTTCAAAAATGCTCCTTGACTATCACCAAAACGAAGTAAGTGAAGGCGGCTGGATGCGGCTGAAATGCCACATGCTACAAACGGTGCACAGTCCAAGCCAATTCCCGGAATTCTTGAATATGCTTTCCTGTCACTCGCTATTTCACTTCAGATACAGCAATGCGATCGAATAAATCTAGAACGCTCTTCATTTCGAGAAATTATTTGAGGATTATTTGGAGTATGTCATCGCTTTCGGGCACGCAAGGCCAAACTGAGCCAGCTTATAGTTAAATTACTGTTGTAGGCAATATCATATTTTCCAGGTTACTTCTTCCTGTGGTGATCGTTTTGCTTACCTAGTGTCAATTATTTTAGTGCTGTGTCATTCGCTGCTGCCTTTGAGTTCATTGGCGCCAGAGCATTGCTGAGTTTTGGTGTGGAAAGTGGTTGGCCAAGCCTGACAACACGGCCACCTGTCTTTCTGATATACGTGCAGTTCGCAATGATTTTACTGTGCCATGCGAAAGCTTTTTTTTATGCCACTGTGGAACACGTGGGCGCTGTGGTATAGCTGCCTGCTCTTCACTGTGCTATTTTGCATAGTTATGTAAATAAGGTTTAATGCATGTAAGTTTATTTCGCAGCAAAGTAACATGCCTAGAATAAACTTCATCGTAGAATTAGCACCGCATGTTCTCAGCGTTGACGCTTCCGCCATTCTAACATTGCGTCATTCTAACATGAATAAGAAGCTATATCGCGTTGCACTCCAATTGCCTTCGTGCTCGCGTGTCTGCTCACATTCTTGTATTCTAATTTTGATGGAAAAGGTCAGCGTACGAGCCTGTCCAATGAAGGAATAAGAACACCACATCCAAAATATAAACAATGAGACTGCCACCGTTTCGAAGTCGCTTGAGCGTCTTCCTAAGGAGGGATGACACGTGCGGTGCTTAAATACAGTTTCTAGCCGTGCGTGAGAGGTTCGGCACGACTCATCGCAAGGTCCGGCAACATAGGGAGGCCAAAGTTCTGGTGGCATGGTGGATGTTCCCCGCTCTATCCTCAATGTGCCTTATTCGAAACAGAGTCGCGAGCAAGTGTTCCTTTGTTTTTTCAGAATCAACGAATCGTCCGGGCCTATGCGGTGCCAAACCACTCGCCGTGCTGTCCTGCTGAGAGCGGTCCGGCTCTCCCATTTAATTGTATGTACTAGAGAGACGACACTTGTACTACGGATGTACCAGTGAGACGTTTAGTGATCTACTAATGCTGTGACGACGCTACACGTACAAAACGTGAGCGATGTAATGTCCGACATCACCAAAATTCATTAGAGCACACTTTCGGCCACCTGGCACCGTATAAGGGCACTGAAAAGTGGATGGACTGATGAACAACCTGAGAATGAGACATTAAAGCTTTGACATCAAAACTTTTTCAGCTAACAGGAAAAAAAAGTTTGACTGTAGTTTTGCTGTGCGCGGCTCAATAGAGAAAATTAGCACGAATTCGTGCATGGAAAAGTAATTTGATACATGGACACAAGTATGAACTCACAGCTTTTAACAAAAATACAAGGCCGCGGCGCGCCGTCAGGCAAACTTTTTCACTGCCATGTGATCGGTATAGTTTCGGCCTGACCTTGTAGAACGATTGCATTTTGTGTGCTCCTTGCGCGATTAGTTTTGATTTCACCAGTAAAGTTCGATGATAGAATCTCGAACTGCATGTGAGTTTAGAGATTTGAAAAAAAAAAACAGGCAATCTTGGTGAGTTGAGACCTTTCCTGCGTCTGCCGTGACGCTGCTTATGAGCGCAACGCGCATGAATGCTGACACAAACACACGACAAGTTGCACCCTAGGTGATGCAAATGAACTCCCATCCTGTTTATTGTGCTGGTCTTATTCTACATACCACATAATAAGGGTTGCTCTGCACACGCAGTTGTCGCCCAGCTATCGGCTGTGACGTCACCTGTCACCTGCCGAAAACAGGCAAGCGGTAACAACACATCGTCTTTTCAGGAGCCAAATAGAGTTTTTATCATCACCACCAATCAATTAAGTGGCACGTCCAACGGAACTTTTAGAATAATGACTTGTCCTCGAGTCAATTAGCAAAAGCGTAATTAACAGTTATGTGTTAAAAGTAGCAGCAATGTCTTGCTGACGGCGGAAAAATATTTTAGCCTTGGTGAGGAGTTCCTGTGTAAAAATAACGCATGCGCCAAACCAAAACCTTCTGGTAGTGTTGAAAATGGCACAAAAACGTAGCCCCACACTTAAGCACGGTCGTCGTCTCCTTGAATCTATCAAGCTGCTTCCATGCGCTCTGCAGATGCTTATCTCCCAACAAGTGCTTGATACTAGATTGAAATTGATGTCCTTAGCCTTCGAGACTGAATGTATTTGGCTCGACATAGCACAATTTCCGGCCGTCCTGTTCAAAGAGTCAATGCTATTAATCTCACAAATGGCGATGGGTGCTCCCACAATCTTGGAGGACATCTGCTGCGTGCTAACAAGAGTTCTTTATTCTCCACAGCGGGTGTCTATTGATGTAGGTGGCTGCTTTATCACTTGATTCAATGGATAACGCAAGGCAATTAAAGAAAATATGACAACATAGCAAAGAAAATGGTCTTCTGCACTTTCAGCAATATTTATATTTGTTACAATATTAATTCATGGCCAGCCTAATAATTTTTTACAGTGCAGCTATGCGAGTGCAGTGACTAATCGCTAAATGGTTTACGCTCGCGTATTTTACGCCTAAATGTGATATGTTTGTTTGCGACTGTTGCTGACCTATCCGGTATTCTGCCACGCCATTCAGTATTTCAAAAAACAAAAAACCCCGGACAGACAAAGGCCTTCTAGTTTGAAGTTGAATGTCGGGCTTGTTGTCCTAAGTAGTGTTATTTTTCCATTTCATGCAATTATGCTGGATTTGAGGTTTTTATTGTGATAGCAATTAAACGGATACTCTCGGCTGCATTTCGCCGCCAGCGTCAGTGTCACCATCACGCACCTTATATGTATACGTATCTATATATATGAAAATGCAAGAAAAAATTCAGAAAAGAGACTCCGGCGAGCGGATTTTAACGTGGACGTTTGAATCATGAGTGCGAGGTGTTAGCCACTGAGCCACGTAGAAGCACCTCCTCCAACCGTCAAACGACAGGCTATTTATATCTACCACTTACCGCTTGTGACGGGCACCTCGGGCGCAACTATCGTGAATTCGGCATTACCACCAAGACGACGCAACGAGCGCGCTCGGCAGAACGTCAGGGCGCAGCGGCACGCGCTGTCATCTCCCACGCTTACTTTGTCCCGCGGAGAGCGGGTAGAGTGGACACAGAGATACTGTATATGCTAGCATTAGGTAGTAGAGTTGCGATAATTTTTTTTCTTCCGCCGCTTACGCCGCTATTCGGTGAGCGCTGTCACGTGGTGCAAAGGTGTCACATGTTCAATTTCATGCGGCGACACAAATTTTACGCGCACGATTGTGCGGCAGCCCGCGCGTTCTCGGCTCGCCTTGACTTCAGCCTCAACGTGACTACCATTAGAGATTTTACTTTGTACGTGTACAATTTGCGTTACCAGGTTACCGGATAGAATCTGCTCTTGCGCGTGTCTTTACATAACTTAAACCTCTATGCAAAGTAAATTACCTTCCGGGTAGGCTTTACGTTTACGGTGCTGTTCCGCGAATCCACATTCGTTCGTAGAAGCTCGCTACATCCGCATTGTGGAGACTCCAGATATCTTTTCAAAATAAGCCGTAGTGCGAGCGCCAATAGCGATTACATTGTTTTAGCCGGAATAAATAAAGCTAAAATGGCTAGAACGTGAAAGCCGGAAACGTGTGAGCCCCTGAGAGACTGGATAGGTGGCACTATCAAGCGCTTTCTAAAGGTACTAGGTGATCCCTAAATTGTTTTTGCAGAAACAGTGTGCAGTTTACGTCTGGTTAAAAAACCGCACTGTGACGTTATCACGAATGATTTACGTTTCGAAGACGGTCGTCTTTCTTGGGGACCTTCGACGCAAAAACGTTGGTCTGTCTGTCTGTCCATTTGTCTGTTTTTCCACCTTTAACAGTATCGGGCACTTTAAACGGCGCCAGCGAATATCCCAACCGGCCGACCCCATCCGCAGTGCCCACCAATGTTGCTCAAGAGTCAGCGTTCATACTTGTGCGATTGTCAGTTAAAAAGCAATTATCACGCATATCTGAGGCACCATAACAACACGTATAGATTCTGTATGTGCGTCTTTTACTAAAAAGGCATACATAAGTTATTCTAAGGAACATAGCGTTTGTCACGCGGCGCTGACCATGTAACCCTTGCAAGAAAAAGGAAGTGTTTCCAACGTTTTGCTAAGACGACACGATGGTGGCACCTACCCGTCGCCTCGCGTTCAGTACGTTATCACCTGCGAGACAGGCGCACACGCCCGTCTCAGAGCCACGCGTTTTTTTTTTCAAGATAACTGCCTGATAGCGCTCATGTCTCACGTGTGACGTGACTTGGTGCACTCGCTCGCATCCGCTGCATGCTCGAGGCACTCTAATGCAACTCTTTCAGAATACCAATGACTGAATTTCTTGCGCAGAACATCTAATGAACGTTTAGTTCAATCTCTCCAGACGCAAGACTATCGTCTTTCGACGCAATTTGAAGTATAACATATAGATATGGGGCCAACTTTTAGGGGCGAAGCTCCTTATAGCGGCACCTGTTCGTCCAACGTAGCCGTAGTAGTAGTCGTAATGTGTTACCAGTCTTACAATTTAACCTCCAAGGTGGTGCCGGTGAGAGATTTCGGCTGTGCGTTGTTGAACAATAAAAACTAGTGCTCAATATACATGCCAATGGCTGCTAAGGGGGAATGAGAGACAGGAGAATTTGGCTTTTAGGTAACGCGCACGCTGCGAACTTTTTATTGTTCAACAACGCACAGAAGACAAGAAAGGGTTGCTACGTTATACTCCCTGAGCGAAACCGCCTAGGTTTTAGAAAGGTTTAGCGAGCGTTGAGCCGCAGTGCCATGAGTACAGTGAACTAGTATATACCATCAACTCGAGGTTGTTAAAGGTGGGAAGTAGACACGAATCCCTAGCCGTGAGAAAGTGTGCGTGTGCCTCCTCTCATTCAGTCCTTGGAATGTCCGCTGGATAGTGGTGCTTCTATATGAGGAATGTATGATGAAAAGATGCGACATGGTGGTACTTGGAGTGTTGAATAGGTGGACAAATGGACACACAGACAAATGCGTGGACGGACGCACAGATGGCTGCACGGACAGATGGACGCAAGGACGGACGCAGGAGCGGATGCCAGACGAAAGCTGGGACGGGTGCACAGATGAACGTGTGGACGCACGAACAGAAGCACGCACGGACGGGTGGATGAACGCACGGGCGGCCGCACAGACGCATGCATGGATGGACGGAAGCAAGAACGAATGAACAGACGGATGCTTCGCCCCACTATCCATCATTCACTCCATGGATATGCTGCCATTTTTCAACTATTTTCACCTCCCACAGGTATTTGTTGAGTTTAACTTCTCGAAACCACCATATGTTAATGAAAGCCACTATAGTGGAGGGCTCCGCAAATTTCGACCACCTGGGGTTCGTTAACACGCACTTAAATCTAAGTATCCGGGTCTAAGGCGTTTCGCCTACCTATAGCAACATACCGCCTCATTACAACCATGCAATCTTGCTCAGCGCGCGGGAAATTGTCTATGGCACGCCACGCATACCAGGCCATCGCGACGCATTTTTCTCCTTCGTGCGTGAGGAGTGGCTTCACTGCATAGTCGTGGAAAAGTAATGGTGGACCTATGCGCAATTCTGCTCCCGCGGGGATCATATACATTAACTCTAGGTGCGCTTGAGTGCGCGTGAGATGCACTCACGCATGCGCTTCTGCGATGGTGGGGACAAACGTACGTCTTGGCTGGCCTTTGGCTTTCACCGGAACAATTCTCTTATAGCAAACGGGTGATCAAAGGTCACAGCAATCGTTGCACAGGCTCCGTTTGCGAAAAGGGCGTGCTTTGCCGACACAGCGAAGTAAAACTGAGACGCGTATTTGCGTTCACCTGCGCCTGTGAGTAGTGTTTCGTGCGTTATTTGGGCGTGAGAAACGTGTGGCACGTTTTTATGTGCTTGCCATGGCTTGCCATTCTGCGCGTGACCTTGCAATGTGTTGCTATGGCATTCATTGCTTCGCCTTTGTGGCAAATCTGTGACATTTTTGAGGAGCAAAGCTCAATATAACATGGGCTTCAGCGTCCAATCGTAATCGCATGTAGCCACCTTAAGTTAGTCGTTCAAGGGGCCCTAGAGTGCGGTACTTGTATATGTAAAACGCTATGCAGATACGCTGAAAAATGCAATTGGTACAATACTAGAGGACGTTACTTGAGTATAATAAAAATAAAAATCACAGCATATCCAAGGAGTGAAAGATAATGAGGGGGGGGGGCGAACCTTCCGTCATTTCGGCCGTCCGTTTGTTCTTGTTTCCCTCTATTCGTGCGTCCATTCATTCATTCGTGCGTCTATTCGTTCAACGGTGCGTCGATTCATTCACTTACGGGTCCTTGCATTCGTGCAAACGTCCATGAGTTCATCCGCTCATCTGTCAGCGCGTCCGTCCTCTCGTGCGTTCCTTCGTGCATGCATCTGTGTGTCCGTCTGTTCGTGCGTCCATGCCTGCGTTCGACCATGCGTCCTTCCGTGCGTCGATGCATTCAGCAGTGCGTCCTTCCGTTCATCCATGCGTTCGCTCATTCCTGCATTCGTTCATGCGCCCATCGTTGGGGCCTCTCGTGTGTCCACCTGTGCGCCCATCTGTGCGTCCAACCATCCATGCGTCCGTCCCTGCGTTCGCTCATGCATTCGTTCATCCGTCCGTCCGCGCGTCCTTTCCTGTGTTAGTCCTTGCGTTCGTTCTTGCGTCCGTTCATCCGTTCGTGCGTCCATCCGTCCATTCGTGCATCCGTCCATGCGTTCATCCGTCCATGCGTCCGTCTCTGCGTTCGTCGATGCGGCCGTTGGTCCGTCCATGCGTTCTTCTCTGATTTCGTTCATGCGTTCGTCCATCCATCCGTCCATCTGTTCGTGCGTCCGTCCGCGCGTCAAACAGATCGACAGACAGACGACGGAGGAACGCGGCCAGTGGACGATTCAGGGTATGCCGATAAAAATATAATATGCGCAATGTGGCTGCGGCTCGAGCTCAAAGACGGAACCACGATGTGCGAGCGCGTGAGGCAGAAGCATGCCGTGAAGCTGCGTGGTGGCGCCAAAAAGTTTGTGGCATGCGAGTACGTTAGGCCAAAGCGGCGTGGCCGCAGTGTGTGGACCGAGCTTCGCTCCACTCGCCACCATTCACCCCGTGGATATGCTGCCAATTTTTTGTTCGTGCAATGATGCATAAAAGAAGAAACTTCTGTGTTGAGTGATACAGAAGATTTTAGTGTCGCTAAATTTTAACTGTCTTGGGAGGTCTATTGATTAAGCCAAACACAGCATAAAATTGACGTAAGATTTCACAAAAGCTGATACCTAAAATTAAAAAAAAGTGAAATAGAAAAATATTCACCTTGTACATGTAGGTTTTCATGTATTCAAAGGGCTTTAACGACATTTTTCGAAGCCCTTCCGTGTGGCTGTAATCGCTGATGACGTAAACCTCAACAGCAAACGGAAATAATGGTAGTTTTGCATCTAATGAGAAAAAAGAACTCCAATGTAGAAAAAGATACGTCCAATGTACCAACCTGAAAGATGCAATTGCAATCGGGCCAGTTTGACTTTCTTTGATAGATAACGGCAATCGAGTACAATGATACGTACACACTGTGTATAATACCACCGCGCAGAACAGCCCAGCCAAACACCGTTACTCGTATACCACATGCATCCCAAAACAACAAACTTTGTGATAACGATTCAAGCGTGCGTCTGAACTTATATTCATATTCCTGTTATTTGTTACTTGTTTCGAGAACTTCCGTAAAACGCGTATTGCATAACCTTGAAATGGCGGAGAGGGTGCACTCTTCCAATGCTAGTTTTCGAAATCCCAATTAAACAAAGCCGGCATGTCGGTGTTGGCACATCAGTGGTTGCCTTTTCCCGATCTGCCGTATTATGTCATAGTGCATAAAGTACTCGGGTTCTGCGGCATTGCGCTGTTGCTTCTCAGTTATTTGTCATGAAAACGATTACTTTTTAACTTTTAGTGGCAATTGTATGTAGTGGCCCCGCCGCGGTGGTCTAGTGGCTAAGGTACTCGGCTGCTGACCCGCAGGGCGCGGGTTCGAATCCCGGCTGCGGCGGCTGCACTTACCGATGGAGGCGGAAATGTTGTAGGCCCATGTGCTCTGATTTGGGCGCTCGTTAAAGAACCCCAGGTGGTCTAAATTTCCGGAGCCCTCCACTACGGCGTCTCTCATAATCATATAGTGGTTTTGGGACGTTAAACCCCACATATCAATCAATTGTAAGTAGTGGCATTTACCAAATCCTGTGCTACATACCAGTTATGATGTGAATAGTGTTTTGATAGGCCGCATAATTTTCTGTGTGGGGGAGACCTACACCTTTTTTGGGCTGACCATTACTTTCCTCATTTTGAAGGGATCAGTGATGATTAGTAGGCTTTGCCCAAACTTTTGGTGCACAAATATTAATGTTGATGATAGTTGTTCGGTACAAGGGTAACCACCCGGATGCTATACAGCTTCCTTGTTAAAAGTATTCACGTGAAGACTTTACAATGACCTCATCATAACGACTCTTGGTGCCACGTCAGCTGACATCTTCACGCGTCATTGTCGTCTTGTTAAAGCGGCACCTCTTACCACGAAAGAAGAAAACAAGATGAGGTGCAAAAAGCTTGCACTGCCGTTCAATCCTGCAAGCAGGGTAACACTACGTCGGCTGCAGGAAGTTTACGGAGACCGAGAGAGAAAGAGAAGATGGCTTTCGCCATCCATACGTCCCTGGCGACTGCATTAGGCACCTTGCGAATTTTTTTAACAATGACTCAGGTGGTGCGTGAACTTGGGCCAGTGCTTGTGAATAAAAACAAGACAGAACATAGAATGTGCTATTTTTCTTGCGTCCGATGTCATAGTTTGAGAGTCGGGATAGGGATGTTCTGTCATACCAGACCACCAGGACGTCATGACCAGCGTGGAGCAAGATGTGCTGATATTTTCGTCACCGCATTATACTGTTGGACGGGCACAGCCACTGAAATCGCTGCAGAATTGTAACATCTATCTGCTGGTAGCGCACTTCTCCTGCTTCGATGACCACGGCTAAGGCGAAGTTGAGTCGTTGAGCCTCGAAGCTTACGCCAGCATTGTCAGGTGAAGTGGCATGATCAACATTGAGTGCAACTTCTTCACAACGTGAACTAATACTAGAGAAAATAAATTTCGAATGTGCGATTGTTGCAAGACAGGGCCACTAAGCACCTGCTTAACTAGCGAGACCATGCGTGGTGTTGCAAAACTATTCGCAGGCAAACAGACAAGGGTCCTATCATCGAGGCGGACACGCGAGGTACACAGAGACTTGAGATAACAGTGCAAAGCATAAACGCATTGGCAAAAGCAAGTACTCTAGGGTGAGCGAGCTTCCGCTTGATTGCGAACGGCGTAGGCGAAGGCTACCATCCGCCTTCTCAGGCTTAACTCCCAGACTCGGTACTAATGGCTGGCACCTTCAATGTGCTTCAAAGCTTTATAAAATACTTTGACGGCGGGCGGGTTAGAGAGTAAATAAATTTTTATGCAACAAAGCATTGATGTGTTTAGTTGCTTGTTTTTGTTTTTGCTACACGATGACTCGAAATCATGTGAGTGTCCATACTGCGGCATCGCATAGGAGCTGAGCCTGCGGCTGGTTGCTTGCTCACACCTTATGTGTGGAAGCCTCGAACAGTGCAGGACGGACTGTCAGACGCTGCGCGTCGGTTTGGAGGCAAAATCGGGTGGCCGGTGTTCGGTGTTGCCCTTCACCTGAGTGTTTTCATCTTGTGACACCGTTCCGGCAGTCGCTACACAGGATTCACCGTTAAAAGAGGGAAGGATCTGACTAAGAATGATGTGTCTGAACCTGATGCTTCTAAGGGTGATCTATGAACACGGCGTTAAGGTAGTTAATGGAGTTTTGTCACACAGAGGTGAAGTTGACGGCAGCTTGCTTTGATGTTGGTAGACTTGAGGCGTTCAATAGCGTGTTCAATCTGCTACAGCCGTTAATGTAACTGGATATCTTTTGAGAAGGGACAGTCCCCGAGTAGGATGACTCCAAAGGCTTGTGCGCAGCGCAGTGTGCACCAAAACATGGGTTCAAGAAGTGGGTTTCCGAGAACGCACGCGTTCAATTCTCGCAGCAAAGACGTAGTCTTGGGGCGTCCCTAAGATTGCCGTGGCTGGTAAATTGCGCCCGAAGTGCTAACTAAATAGCCCCTTTGGCTGTAATTTTGGGCTTATTCTCACTAGTGGTGCCAAACTTCGAGGAAGTGTGGGGCTGGGTCGCCATTAACATTGTCTTCATTAAGGTGAGAGCAATAAAGAGCTTTTTTCGCAGAAATTCCGGCTCTGGAATCGCTGTGTGCGTCGTAATTTGTAAGCGAAAAATTATCATTGTGTCCTACACTAAAAGTTAGAAAAAGATGCAAAACACAATAAATTGTTCAGGTTTCAGCGAGGATCAAAGCCAGGCTGTCTGTGTGGCAAGTACGTAGAAAAGCACCTAATCACAACAGTTGTCGAAGCTACATCGGCAATAAAACACTACATAAATGTTCTGTACCTAAAGAATCCTTCTGAACACTTCATATGTATTGTGGCAGAATTGTAGAATCACACCAGGCGTGAAGAGATGTGAATTGAGCAAAATATTGGTGTTTCGAAGCCTCCCCACCCCCCCTATTACAAAGCACCTAGCCATATTTATTCATTATCAGTAACAGAACCGTGTGTTCGCGTGTAGCCCAAAGAATGCACAGTGAGCCCTTCGCTTATTCGCGAAGGAATAAATATGGCTTAGTGGCCACATAACTGTGCTTCCAATAGCATTCAATTACTTATGGAAACCGCCAATGCTACGCCCACAGCCGTTCGTTTCTTTACGGAACGATTTATGTAATCCACCGAGAGATCCCTAGCAGGTTAGCAGTTGAGAAGGTGACACGCACGAGCCCTGATGACGCTGTCGTGATCTACTCTTGTAGGAGAAGGTCATGTGACCTCCGATTTTCTTCGATTTAGTAGCGAAGCTTCTTAAGGCGTGGGTCGTGCGTCTCCTGTATGTAGCAGCTACCTCTCGTTTTAGTCTTTGGATTGTCCGCTGGATGGCGGTTCTTGTACATGATGAATATAATATAAAGATGCGTCATGGCGGTATTCAGAGTGTTCACTAGTTGAACGAACGGATGGATGGACAGACAGGCGTACTCATAGATGGACATGCGGACAGATGGACGGACAGGCGAACAGACGACATAAGGGCAGACAGACAGACAGACAGACAGACAGACAGACAGACAGACAGACAGTTAGACCGACAGACGGATTGAAAGAGTGGCTACTTGGGCTGGTCGGTATTACAATTTGAAAGAAATTTACTTTTCTTAGTGCGCAGGAAACGTTTGAGAAAGAGAATAGACCCGTGAGAAGAAGATAGAGCATACAGGTTTTTTAAATACAGCAAGATCCTGGCAAGCCTGAACGAACAGGCGCACATGCTGTGGGAGCGAAATGTAAAAGGAGGAAGAGAACGGAAAGAGCTTGTGCAGGTTCGCGAAGAATAGAGTTTTATTTTCTATTTTTTGGCATGGTTGAATGGTAGCTGAAGCAGCTCCATGGTTAAAAAAGTGTTAGGTTGGTGCCAGGTAGAGTTTCTGGTTGCTTTGCAGTTTCTCTTTCCACGCATTTAGTAACCTAATATTGTATCATTTCCAGGCAAAACCACAGGAAAGCCTGAAGTTCCCCTGACTTGTCGCACACTGCTTTGTCATCGGCCTATGCGCGCGCACCTCTTCGAACCAGCGGGGGGCTCGTGCGAGGCGAGGCACTTTCATTGAAGGCAACGCACAACTGCGACTGCAGGAGATGTGTTCCAATGCCCACAGTAGACTGTTAAATAGACAGCTAATTAAACAGCGGTCATCTTAAGTGCGATTCCAATTCTTACGTACTCTGTGAAATAAGACAGCTCCGAGAAGACAACATCGTAGACAATTACGGTGCAGGCTACTTTCCTGTCTAAACAAGGTGGCGGCTCAGCGACTCACTCAAGCAGATCGGATCTCGCCGGAATAATCATCTTCACTGAAGCAGACGATTCTGCAGACGCTCAATGAGAGTATGTTTAAATTTTTTTTTGATTTCAACTAATAGCTCAGAAAATACAGCACTTACGTTTGTTTATTTTAGCCCATTTTTCTTGATGTGAGGTGATGCCTCGTCGCGCATAAGGCGTCCACACGTGTTCCATTTCTCGGAGAGCATGGGCTTGGTACTGTCTTCAAAGCTGTCTGCGTAGAACGTTTATGATGCTGTCTAAGAATTGGAGGACAGCCAGAAGGCCAAAGTTACCTGCATGCTAGCAAACGCGTAGCTAGTGCGCTACTCACCGCTACCGTCTGTCTATGTTGTATTGCTGATATCGTGGAGGTGTTCTCGTGGGAACTTGAAAAAAGAAAAATTAAAGGCGAAGCTGTGTCGTTCCGCTGCTTTGATGAATATCTAGATCAATTTCAGTGTGTTAAACTTCAACACGCACACGATGCTTGTAGTTGACTCGATTCCCTGAGTAACCTGAAGCCGACAAGGAAAGCTGCATTGAAGGATCACGTTGGCATACAACATCGCGTATTTTATCAGCGATCAGTTTTTTCTTTACCATGCACAGTTGCACAATTAATGTTTACCTTATGCCGTAGTGCAGGCTCCCAAATAGAAAGGTCCATCTTTACTGGATTGCGTTCGCGTTCTTCACCGCCACTCCCACGTGAAAATATAATCGAGGTGGGCTACAAGTCGTACAGGAACATTTAAATGTAAAGCATCTCCGTCAGGAAGGAATTATCGTGTCTCAATAACTCCGATTACTACAGGCTTCAAAACTAAATCAATTATTTCAAAGACCATACCTACAGCTTCATTCCTGGAGTATATGTATAGAATAAGCAGTCCTATGTGATAGTAGCGCACCATCTTGAAGATTGTATACACCTGAATGTTATGGTAGTCACGGCTGTTCTGTAAACATTAGCCTATACAATTGTGGAAATGGCTTCTTTTGTGTTGATCTTTCGTAATATATCCCCGTCCTTTTATCTGGCAGAAGCGCGGCGTTTTCATGAAAATAACAAGACAGCCACAAGAAGCAGGCGAGTCATTTATCGCTGATGATTGTGCTCACTGCCTAATGAGTGTCAAAAATCAATAGGCCATGATTCAGCTCGCGGAAACGAATCATCCATCAACAATTATTGCATACGGCCTTTTCCTTAAATATCACGATAATGTGTCGATTACGAAACACTTCTGTTCGAGCAAAATCTTGCACTTTATACATATCAATCTACTTCCCACAGCCAGCCAATACTGCCTGGTATAGCGGTCTCAGTAAAAGAATAAAACGTAGCGCTGCATAAAATGTACTTTCCTCGAAGTGTGCAGCAGCAACCACACCTTTTTTTCAAGAATTGCGCATGCACTACGTTGCTGGAATTTATGAGTGTTCTTCAATACAAAACAGTGACAAAAACTTATATGGAAATCCTAACAAAACCGGGTGACACGTGGCAGTATAATGTTACGAGGCAGTGGGTATGGCTCTGCCGTCGTAGGCGCATCTATAAAGAAGAAGCGGATTCGGAGCGAGATCTTAGCAGCCCTGGGGTGTCACACCTACCTGTAAATATTGCAAATACACTCGTTTTTCTCTTCCGTGTATTCGTAATCCCCGTATCATATTGGTAGACGTGCTGGGTAAAGAAGCACCATATACGACGGAGCTCTGCAGTGGTCGTCAAATCGGAGCTTCCGAGATAGAACACGAGACTGATCTCACGGCCACCTCGCCATCGGCCTCGGCGACGCCTGCACCATCCATGGCAACACCTCCATCAGCCCCACCCACGTACGTGCTGACGCATCTGAAACATCCAAAAACGTTCTTTGGTACGGACGAAGTTGTTGTTGACGACTAGATAGCTGACTCCTCGCGTACCAATGAGCTTAACTGGTATGACCCGACTCTCATGCTGGCCAACGTGCTGTTTTACCTGAAAGGCACGGCCAAAGTCTGGTACGAGAACCATTAGGAGGAGCTTGGCAGTTGGGACACATACAAGAAGAAGCTTCGCAACCTATTTGGAAAGCCCATCACTCGAAAGGCGGCTGCAAAAAAGGAGTTGTCTTTACGTGCTCAGACGTCCACAGAGCCGTATATCTCGTATATACAAGACGTGCTGGCTCTATGTCGTAAAGTCCACAACGACATGTCGTATTCTGGTAAGTTTGGACACGTCCTCAAGGGGATAGCGGACCATGCGTTCAAGCTGCTAACATGCCGGAACTGCGTGACTAATAATTCAAAATGCCGGCGTTTTGAACAGGTCGAAGGCTGGCGTGTTTCAAGATCATTCACTCGACGGCCGAAAACCGCTGCGGCGTCCTCCTGCGAAGATGGACTGACCGCTCATCGGGAGTCTTCACTGGCGTCTGCAATTACGCGAATCGTCCGGCGGGAAATCGAAGCAATTACACCAGCTCTTCCCACCAATGGCCACGTCGATTCGCAAGGATCTCAGGATTGCGTGGTGCAGTCGATTGATCGGGAAGAACTCAGCGATTTGGGCTTTGATGTCTGCGCCATTGCTCAGTCTAGACCAATTGGCTTCCAATAAAGGTCGCCGCCTCGCCCCAGGTCACCTCCCCAGGAATGGTCTTTACCACGCTCTTGCAATCCGGCCGAATGGTGAATAGTAGGCGATCGGCTGGTCTGCTTTAACTGCCACCGCACAGGGCACGTCACACGGTATTGCCGCAACCATTAGTCTTCGTCCCGAACACAATATAACACTGCTCGCCACGCCCACAGCTACCGCCTTTTCCAGCCTCCTGCTCCGATCCCCGACAGCTACCGCTGCCTTCCACCCTTCGATGCCCCTGATACGCACCACAACTGCTCACTGTCGCCTCGACGTCATCAGTCTCGTTCGCCGCCTGCACGTCGCCCGTCGTCTTCTTCTATACGACGGCGCCAGACTTCCCCACTCAGTTCTCAACAGGGAAACTAAGCGGTGCAGCTCTTAGAGGTGAAGCTGCATCCTCGATACCGACCCCAAATCCTCTCCTTGTACTGCCAACAAGACGAAATTTGATCGACGTAGACGTTGACGGCCTGACTGTTTCTGCACTTATTGACACCGGGGCGCTTGTTTCTGTGATGAGTTCCCGACTTCGTCACCGCCTGAAGAAAGTTATCACACCGGCTGCTTCTGGCATTATTCGTGTTGCCGACGGAAGAAGTCTTGCTATCACAGGAATGTGCACAGCACTCATCACAATCGCCGGTCACCTCACATCGGTTTTCTTTGCACTTATTGAGCAGTGCCTCAATTACCTTATTCTTGGATCGGATTTCTTGTCCACTCATGCCACTTTCATCGACTGTTCAACCGGCGTTCTCGAACTTGAACTGCCTCAACTTGGGGCTGCGCTGTCCTCACCATCACACCTTTTGTGCGCTGTTGATTATGTTGGCTGTCTCCGCAAGCCATTACGTTTGTGGCCTGAACGATATCACTAGCTCTTCCTGACGGTGACTTCATAGTGTCTCCATTAGTGGATGTGCTATTGGCGCGAAGTCTTGCTGTGCCGCATACCATCGTGACTATCGTGGACAACTAGGTTCAGCTTCCGCTTCTCAACTTTAGTCATCATCATCATCAGCAGCAGCCTGACTACGTCCACTGCAGGACAAAAGCCTCTCCCATGTTCCGTCAGTTAACCCAGTTCTGTGCTTGCTGCTGCCAGTTTATCCCCGCAAACTTCTTAATCTCATCTGCCCACCTAACCTTCTGTCTCTCCCCAACCCACTTGCCTTCTCTGGGAATCTAGTTAGTTACCCTTAACGACCAGCTGTTATCCTGTCTACACGCTACATACCCATCCCATGTCCATTTCTTCTTATTGATTTCATTTATGATATCCTTAACCCCCGTTTGTTCCCTAATCCACTCTGCTCTCTTCTTGTCTCCTAAGGATAAACCTACTATATTTCTTTCCATTGCTCACTGTGTCGTCCTCAATTTAAGCTGAACCCTCTTTGTAAGTCTCCAGATTTTCGCTCCGTAGCTAAGTACCGGCAAGATAGAGCTGTTATATAGATTCCTCTTGAGAGATAGTGGCAGTCTACCTGTCATAATTTCAGAGTGCTTGCGAAGTGTGCTCCGTCCCATTCTTAATTTTCTAGTTACTTCAATCTCGTGGTTCGGTTACGCGGTTATTACCTGCCCTAAGTAGACATAGTCTTTTACAAATTGAAGTGCACTAATACCTAGCTCGAAGCGCTGCTCTTATTCGAGGTTGTTTTACATTACTTTCGTTTTCTGCAGAAAATTTTAAGACCCACCACTCTGCTCTCCTTGTCTAACTCCGTAATCATGAGTTGCAATTGGTCCCCCGAGTTACTCAGCAATGCAATGTCATCGGTGAAGCGCTGGTTAATAAGGCACTCGCCATTGACTCGTATCCCTAACGGTTCTCATTCTAGGCTCCTGAAAACCTCCTGTAAGCACACGGTAAATAGCATTGGGGAGATTGCGTCTTAACTTTGGTAGTTCGTCGCAAGTTTTCCCGCAAGGAATTTCATTAGGCCATGTTTCCCAACTTGATGCATGTAACATCGTGTAATTATTCCCTGAAGACTGCTCGTCCCCTATTGCAGCCAGCCGAGCTAACGCACCAATCCGATAAAATCACGATGATGATTGCCCCTGATCTTCTGACCTGCGAGGCTGCGCAACTTCACGTTCTGACCACCTGCCGAGATATTTTTGACATCGATGAACGCCCTTTAGGTCAAACGTCCGTCTTACCTCATCAAATACATACCGGCGATGCTAGTCCTGTTAGACGGCGACCATATCATGTTTCCCAGTGCGAACGCCAGGTCATACAACGAGAAGTCGAGAAGATGCTCTTCAAAGGAGTCATAGAGGCCTTTTAAAAACCATTGGCTTCACCTGTTGTTTTAGTCAAAAAGAAGGATGGCAGTTAGATATTTTGCGTTGACAACCATGCCATGAATAAGACAATTCGCAAAGACGTATATCCGCTGCCATGAATCGATGACACCCTTGACTGCTTTCATGGTGCGCGATACTTCTCATCTATAGATCTGCTTTCTGGCTATCGGCAAATTTCTGTCGATGACTTAGACCGCAAAAAAACTGCCTTTGTCACACCGGATGGCCTTTATCTGTTTAAGTTTATGCCTTTTGGGCTGTGCAACACCCCGGCAACGAACGAAGGCATGATGGTCTCTCTCCTCCGTGGTTATAATGGTCCATCTGCTTTTGCTACCTCGACGACGTGATTGTATTTTCCCAACATTTGAAAGCCATCCTAACTTGCTTGTCGACTATTCTAGCCGCTTTTTGTCGAGCGGGACTCCAACTGAACTCGAAAAAGTGCCATTTTGGTCGACAAGATATCACGGTCCTTGGTCACCGTGTTAGTGCTGCTACCCTACCTTGACAAGATGAGCGCTGTCAAGAACTTTCCTCTTCCTTCTACTACCAAAGATGTTCGTTGTTTTGTGGGCTTATGCTCGCACTTCCGACGTTTTTTATACGCCATTTCGCTACAATTGCACGACCACTCACTGATCTTCTCGAAAAGAATGCGCCCTTCTCGTGGGGCCAAGACCAAGCAGCTGCGTTTTTTACGCGGATCCAGCTTTACGCGATCACCATCGTTATTGGCTCACTTCGACCCATCCGCGATGACTGAAGTTCGCACAGACGCCAGTGCTCACGGCATCGGCACCGTCCTCGCTCAACACCAGGGGGGCCAGACGCGTGTTATTGCGTATGCCAGCTGCCTTCTCTCCTTCTAGAGCGAAACCATTCGATAACGGAGCGCGAGTGCCTTGCGTTGATCTGCCCTATAGCGGAATTTCGCCCCTACTTGTATGTCAGCGAGTTTTCAGGTATTACGGACCTTCACGCTCTGTGTTGGTTGTCGTCGCTCAAGGAACCAACTGATCACCTGGAT